ACCACCACCACACAGCACCACCTACCCACCACACTACCTACTTACCTCACTACCACTAACCTACCACTACCACACAACACCACCCACCCACCACACTACCTACCTACCACGCTACCACCACCACCTACCTACCACACTACCACTACCACTTACCTACCACACTGCCACCAGCTACAGGTTCCCGGAGGCTGTAATGGCAGGCTCCCGGTCTCACTCCATGAAGCATCTAGTGGGCAGAAAAATGACGGTGGTCGTATCGGCGTTGCATTTTAATGATAAGAGCAGTAGTTTAAGAGGTAGCGGACAGGGGTAGCACGCTGCCTGCCTGTATATTAGGGGGTGGGGGGTAGGGGAAGGGGTTGGAGGAAGGGGATGGTAGGGATAGGGGGGTGGTTAGGGAGTGTTGAAGGAAGGGGAGGGGTAGAGGGAAGGTGTGAGGGGAGTTATGTTGGGGAAGGGATGGGGTAGGGTAGGGGTAAGGGAGGGGGAAGGTTAGGGGAGAGAAATATGGTTAGGGGGAAAGGGAAAGTGTAAGGGAAGAGAGAAAGGTATTTTGTGTAGGAGGGAAATGGAGGAGGAGAAGCGGGAAACGGGAGATAGAAAAGTGGAGGAAAGAATGCGAAGAGGAGAGAAAGAGAGAGAGAGAGAGACATTAAAGAAAAAGAAAGGAAGAATCACAAAAAGAAAATAATGAGAGGAGTATTTGGGGAGGTAATGGAAGAGAAGGAGGAGGAGGACGAAGAAGGAGAGAGAGAGAGAGAATGAAGGATGAGAGGAGGTGGGACGGTAGAGGTGAGTGACGGATAATCAGAAGATGGAGGCGATGATGTTTTTATATGGATGGAGGAACAGAATAGAGATGGAGTGAATACCTTGAGGGACAGGCAGTGAAACGGTCGCTCCGTCACATCAACAGTCAGTAGCAGCATCAGCATCAGTAGCAGCATCAGCATCAGTAGCAGCAGCAGCATCAGTAGCAGCAACAGCATCAGTAGCAGCAACAGCATCAGTAGCAGCAACAGCATCAGTAGCAGCATCAGCATCAGTAGCAGCATCAGCATCAGTAGCAGCAACAGCATCAGTAGCAGCAACAGCATCAGTAGCAGCATCAGCATCAGTAGCAGCAACAGCATCAGTAGCAGCAACAGCATCAGTAGCAGCATCAGCATCAGTAGCAGCAACAGCATCAGTAGCAGCAACAGCATCAGTAGCAGCATCAGTAGCAGCAACAGCATCAGTAGCAGCATCAGCATCAGTAGCAGCAACAGCATCAGTAGCAGCAACAGCATCAGTAGCAGCATCAGCATCAGTAGCAGCAACAGCATCAGTAGCAGCAACAGCATCAGTAGCAGCATCAGCATCAGTAGCAGCAACAGCATCAGTAGCAGCAACAGGCCCGTCAATTTCTTAACTGCACACAATGACATGTTTACAGTGACCGTCTGTATGAGAGAAGGTTCATTAATGGCGGTGTTAGTGAGAGAGAATGGACCTCCTTGTGAGGCCCAGCTGGGGAGATCCTCATTGTTCTGCGTCATCAGTAGCCCCCGTGAAGGACCCCCAGCAGGTGGACACGAGCCCTGCCAGGTGTGTGGGGCCAGGCTGTCATTGGTCTTGAGAAAGGGGAGATGTGGTGGATTATTGATGTGGGTCTTACATTGTGGAGACGAAGGTATGACTCTTACTCTCCATCACTTCTTCTTCTTCTTCTTCTTTTTCTTCTTCTTCTTCTTCTTCTTCTTCTTCTTCTTCTTCTTCTTCTTCTTCTTCTTCTTCTTCTTCTTCTTCTTCTTCTTCTTCTTCTTCTTCTTCTTCTTCTTCCTCTTCTTCTTCTTCTCGAAATGTGTGTGTGTGCGTAATATACGCTTTAATGGCGACCTGCATTATGTGGTGTAATGGTCAGTATGCTCGCTTCGCAAGCGAGTGGACCGGGGTTCGATCCCCGGGCAGGGTGAAACTATGGGCAAGTTTCTTTACGCCATTTGTCTCTGTCTACCCAGCAGTAATTGGGAACCTGGATATTAATCGATTTGCGGATCGTGTTCCGGGGTAATGGTTAGCCAGTGCAGTTGGCGAGTTGTCCGGTCTTCTCGGACTATTCCTTGACACTGGGTCCTACAACTCGTTGTGTTGTGTTGGCGACAGCTTCTACACCTGAAACAAATTCACGCCTAGGTGGCCCTTGTTACACGAGGGGCAACCATTATTATACACTCTTTATTTCATACAGGTAAACCATTGGTGAACTAGTAAACAAGGCGAGGCACTCACGACCTACTGTAAATGGGAGAAAAGGTATAACTTCTGTGTGAGGTTAAGGGACCACCGAGTAGCTGTACCTAACCTGACCTAACCTAACCTCACCTGACCTAACCTCACCTAACCTGACCTAACCTAACCTCACCTTCGTGGTCCTTGATTCTTTTTCAACGCTGTTTGTCATGATTTTGTTTAATAAAACCCCATATAACGGATTTCTTTTTCCATATAATCCGTTAGATGGAAGTTTAAAATTTAACGGACCCTCGGTATAACGGACTTTACTCTCTAGATAGTTCGTTAGATGGAGGTTTAAAATCTAACGGACCCTCGGTATAAAGGACTTTCTTCTCCATATAGTTCGTTAAATAAAAGTTTCAATGTATAACATTATATTTCTAATAATGATTTAAATTTTGTATGATAATCTCGTCCACTAAAAATTCTATTTAACGGACTATTATGGAGAGGGAAGTCCATTTGATCGAGGATATGAAACCTCCATTTAACGGAGTTTTTTCACTCACTTACTCACTCACTCACTCACTCACTCACTCACTCACTCACTACTATATACAAATACCAACTCAAATTTTTTTCTGTTGCTGTACAGTTACCAGAAAATATGATGAAATGAATCACCTGAAGAATCACCACCCCAGCTTATTTCACCTAAAGATTAACCACCCTAACCTAACCTTATGTCCCCTAAATGGTGGTTAATCTTCAGGGGAAATAAGCTGGGGTGGTGATTCTTCAGGTGATCCATGAAAATAATAACAAGTTCTGAGAGATCAACGGGTGAGGTGGGCTGTTAGGTGGGTCTGGTGGGCTGTTGGGTAGGTCAAGTGGGCTGTTGGGTAGGTCAAGTGGGCTGCTAGGTAGATCAGGTGGGCAGTTATGTGGATTTTGTGGGCTGTTAGGTGGGTCAGGTGGGCTGTTGGCTCGAGCTAGGTCATGTAATTCTAGGTGCTGGTAACTATGACCCAGGTGTGTGTGTGTGTGTGTGTGTGTGTGTGTGTGTGTGTGTGTGTGTGTCCCGTCTCACACGAGGGTCCCACAGTATGTCTCCTTTACTCCATGATTTATAGCCATAATTCAGACATTATCGAGGGCAGGATGAGGAGGTGGATGAAGGGGAAGAAAAAGGCGGAAGAAAAGGAGGAGTAGGATAAGGAGAAGCAGGAAGATCAGAAGGAAGTAAAAGAGAAGGAGGAGGAGGAGGAGGAAGAGGTCCTTGATGACGTAACCCCAAGAGGCGGTGTTTGTGGTCTAAACGAACACACAACACGGGACACAACATCTATACACGGGGGGGAACAACAAATAATCTCTCAAGCGAAACATTTCTCAGATAACGCAACACAATACCTCTGCTACCTCACATAGTACTGAGAAACTTATAGGGGGCAAATATGAAATAAATTACCAGTAGTATCCTTGAGATGTCGCCTGGAAACGATAATTTTAGCAACTCTTTAAGAAATCGAGTAATATTTACCATAATTTTGATTCTTATCGTACGTCTGTCTGTCAGCACTGCACGGAGGGTCGGGGGGGGTGGGGGGTGGGGGATGATGCTCTCAGTGGGTTAGCCAGTTGAGAGAGACGTTCATTAGCCTCAGTAAAATTAAGGAAAATATGAAAGAGATGCTTGAGTGTAGCCGACCATGATACACACACACACACACACACACACACACACACACACACACACACACACACACACACACACACACACACACACACATGTCACACACACACACACACACACTGTTTTGAGCTCAGTCATCCCTGAAAAGAAGATGTGGCGTGTGACTAGGACTGTTGGGGAGAAATGAGAAAAGGTGAGAGAAAAAGATAAAAAAAAAAGAATAAAGGTGAGGGAGAGAGAGAGAAGAGGAAAACGAATATAGGAAGGGAGGAAAGAGAGAGAGAGACGAGAGAGAGATAAAAGAAAATAGCCAGGAGAAAGAGAGAAAAAAATAGATACATTAACAAAATTTCAACAAGTTATTTACCATTTTGTTTACATATTTAACACAGATGTAAACAAAACACATCCTTAGAGACGGTGGACCACTTCAACAGCTGATATCATGAAAGAATCGAACCCTGGACCTCACGACAAATACATATCCATTTTACCACGTCCCTTCTGGTGCCGTAATACCACCCGGATATCTTAACATTGTGAATTAGTTAGACACAAGGATACACAGGTGATGGTAGAGTCCCTAATCAATTTCGGCGTCATTTTAGCCGTCAATTTTTTGTTATCGTAGTTTAAGCGACCTGAGGTATGTTGTTTATGTCTCTTAGTTATGAGGGTGAAGTTTAGAAGACTTAGGGAGGGGTAGGTAGGTGGAGGAGGAGGAGAGGGGAGGAGGAGGTAGGTGGAGGGGAGGTGGAGGAGGAGGTAGGTGGAGGAGGAGGTAGGTGGAGGGAGGAGGGAGGGAGAGGAGGGGGTGGGTGGAGGAGGAGGAGGTGGGGAGGAGGAGGTAGGTGGAGGAGGGAGGTGAGGAGGGAGGTGGAGGAGGTAGAGACTGAGGAGAAGGAGGAGGAGTGGGTGGAGGAGTGAGGAAGGAGACTAGGAAGGAGAAGGGGTGAGGAGGAGGTGGAGGAGAGGGAGGAGGTAGGGAGACTGAGGAGAAGGAGGAGAGGTGGGTGGAGGAGGAGGTGGAGGAGGGAAGGTGGAGGAGGTAGGAGACTGAGGAGAAGGAGGAGGAGGTGAAAAAGAGGAGGAGGTGGAGGAGGAAGGTGGAGGAGTAGGAGACTGAGAGAAGGAGGAGGTAGGTGGAGAGGATGAGGAGAATAAAGAATAAAAAAGAGGAGATGAGGAGGAAAATCAGAAGGAGGTGAATGGAGGAGGACGAGGAAGAGGAGGTAGGAGGGTGAGGAGGAGAAAGAGGTAGGTGGAGGGTGAGGAGGTAGAGAGGGTGTGTCTGACGTCGAGGAAGGCACGCACGGGTTAACACACACACACACACCGGATTATATTAAAATATTGACCATCACTTATTACTTAGCTAATGAGCGACGGCCTTAATAGCTCAGCATCTAATTACCGGCCCATCGTGAAGTTTATTTGGCGTCCCGATTAAGTTGTTCCCCCCCAGGGCTAGGAATGCCGGCCGGACCGACCTAAACGCTGACAGCACCTACGAGTAATGCTGATCACTTCCGCGAGACCAACCACGAGTAATGTTGATCAGCCTGACAGCCGATCACTAGTTATTACCTGCTGGTCTTGGGGGGTGGAGAAGTGGAAGAATGGTGATGGTGGAGGGTGACGATGGTTGGATGGTGGAGAAGAAGGAAGAATGGTGGTGGATGGTGGAGAAGAAGGAAGAATGGTGGTGGATGGTGGAGAAGAAGTGAAGAATGGTGGTGGATGGTGGAGGATGACGATGGTGGTGGATGGTGGAGAAGAAGTGGAAGAATGGTGGTGGATGGTGGAGGTGACGATGGTGGTGAGGGTGGAGGGTGACGATGGTGGTGGTAGAGGATGACGATGGTGGTGGAGTGGTGGAGGTGACGATGGTGGTGAGTGGTGGAGGGTGACGATGGTGGTGGGTGGTGGAGGGTGGAGGTGGTGAGTGGTGAGGTGACAGGGGAGGTGGAGGGTGACGATGGTGAGTGGTAGAGGATGACGATGGTGGTGAGGGTGGAGGTGACGATGGTGGTGGTGGAGGGTGACGATGGTGGTGGGTGGTGGAGGGGACGATGGTGGTGAGTGGTGGAGAGGAATGGGGATTGAAGGAAGGTGATGTAGATGAGGAGAAGAAGGAATGAGTGGGATGGAGGGGATGATAGCGAGAGAATGAGTGGGATGAGAGGAGGGGTGGAGGATGAGAGGGAGGGATGAGAGGTGGTTGGGTGTGGGAGGGATGAGAGGTAGGGTGAGGGGAGGGATGAGAGGTAGGGGTGAGGGAGGGACGAGAGGTAAGGTGAGGGAGTGGGATGAGAGGGTAAGGTGGAGGGAGGACGAGAGGTAGTAGGGGTGGGGAGGGGATGAGAGGTGGTAGGGTGAGGGAGGGATGAAAGAGGTAGGGGTGGGGAGGATGAGAGAGGGGTAGAGGGAGGGGATGAGAGGTAGGGTGAGGGAGTGATGAGAGGGTAGGGGTGAGGGAGGGGATGAGAGATAAGGGGTGAGAGAGTAGGGATGAGTGGTGGTAGGGGTGAGGGAGGGATGAGAGGTGGTAGGGGTGGGGAGGGATGAGAGGGGTGAGGGAGGGATGAGAGGTAGGTGAGAGTAGGATGAGGTGGTAGGGTGAGGGAGGGAGAGAGGTGGTAGGTGAGGGAGGGGATGAGAGGTAGGGGTGGGAGGGAGTGAGAGGGTAGGGGTGAGGGAGGGGTTGAGAGGTGGTAGGGTGTGGAGGGGATGAGGTGGTAGGTGAGGGAGTGGGATGAGAGTGTAGGGTGAGAGAGAGATGAGTGGTGGTAGGGTGAGGGGAGGATGAGAGGTGTAGGGAGTGGGATGAGAGGTAGGGTGAGGGAGTGGGATGAGAGGTAGGTGAGAGGGTTGAGAGGTGGTAGGTGGGGAGGATGAGAGGTAGTAGAGGGGAGGGGATGAGAGGTGGAGGGGTAGGGAGGGATGAGAGGTGGTAGTTTGAGGGAGTGATGAGGGGAGTTTACCTCACCTACAGGTAAAAGGAACATTTACACGGTAGGGTTGAGGCTGTGAAAATTAATGTTGATACCGTCTCTTGGTGGTCGGTGTGTGGTTGTGGTAGTAGTAGTTGTGGGTGTGGTAGTAATGGTCGTGGTAATGGTGGAAGTGGCAGTGTTACTCATGGTAATGGTATGGTAATGGTAGTGGTGGTAGTTGTAATGGTGGTGGTCGTTGTAATGGTAGTGGTGGTGTTGATTTGGTATGATGAAAGTGATAGATGTAATGGTGGTGGTAGAGGTAGTGGTTATCATGGTAATGGTAATGGTGGTCGTCATAATGGGGGGGTGGTAATGGTAGTGATAGTGACCTCCACCATCCTCCCCAACAAACCCCTCCCCTCTCCCCATCTCCCCACCATCCCCACCTCCTTCCTTCTTTCCCCACCAACCCCACCACCCCACAACATCCTCCCATCTTCCTCCCCACCTCCCCACCACCTTTACCTCCTCCCCACCTCCCCACCCTCCTTCCCACCTCCCCTTCTCCCCAACCCTCCTCCCCACAGCTCAGTGCCGTGCGTCTGGTACATAAATTCTTACTCAACGGCCAATTGAGTCTCATCTCGCAGATTGAATACGTCTGAAATGACTCAGTTTTGGTAATTTGAGCAAGGACCTGGATCCAGGACCTGCTGGCAGAGGAGGGGGGGGAAGGAGGGGGAGGAGGAGGAGGAGGGGGTAGGGGAGAGGGAGGAGGAGAGGAGGGGTAGGAGGAGGAGGGAGGGAGGGGAGGAGGAGGGGGGGGTAGAGGAGGAGATGAGGAAAGGGTAGGAGAGAGGGATAAGGGGGAAGTAGGTGACATGGAAGAACAAGAGTAGAGGGGGAGGTAGGGTAGGAGGAGAATGGTGTGGAGATGGAAGTAGGGAGGACGGGGAGAGATTAGGAAGCGGTAGGAGGAGAGAGCAAGTGGGAGGAGGTTAGTGATATGGGGGGGAATAACATGAGGAGAAGGAGGAGGAAGGAAGGGAAGAAGGAGGAGAACAGGATAAAAGAGGGAGGTTGGTGGCTGCGGGGTGGGAGGAGGTCGAGAGAGAGAGAGAGAGAGAGAGAGAGAGAGAGAGAGAGAGAGGATATAACCCAACCTAATAATTCAATCATAAGAAGTATCTCTGGGCTAACCATCATCCCTAAAGGAAAATAAACCACCAAGACCAAGCATTAGGGGTCATGGTTTAATGGGGGAGGCCTGGACAAGGGCTTAGCCAGACGCTGTTCCTCTCACCCCACCCCTTCATCCCCTCCCCCTCACCCCTCCGCTGAAACTACCCTTCCCTTCCTCCCCTCCTCCACCCCCACAATCACCCCTCCCTCCACCTCCCTTACCACACAAATGAGCCCAGTATTACCTACCAACTATCCGATCTCGATTAATTAGTCTCCCGGACCACAAACACTGCGGAGGTATATATACAGGTGTATTTGTTTCTAATGTATACATAATTAACCTTGTGTGTGTGTGTGTGTGTGTGTGTGTGTGTGTGTGTGTGTGTTTAAGTCTTCAGGTTTGTGTTTTATTTTTCACCATAACCGATATATAAAATAATGTTTCATTTCTTTATTCATAATTTGACTTCATTAACTGATGGTATTTTTGTTAACTTTATATCATTCTTGTTTATTTTTAGTATTAATAATAAAAAAAAATACTTAAATTGTATCCTTTTCGTTTTTTTATTCATTTGTCAATATTTTTCGCCCGATAAAGAAAAAACTGCATATTATATATTTCTATAATTTACGAACCAATGGAATAACAAACACGTATTAACCATTAACTTACATATGTAGTTGTTGACAAGAAATGAATTTGTAAAGTAGTAAGATAATTGAAGGTGACCAAAACATAATGACCGTGTGTTTGTAATGATTCTTGTCATTGAGAGATGCTGAGGTGTAGGAGGTTAAGTGAGGTCATAGGAAGAGTTTAATGTGGAATACAGAGTCTTTATACCTCTTGTTGATGACGCCTCTTGTTGATGGCGCCTCTTGTTGATGACGCCTCTTGTTGATGACGCCTCTTGTTGATGACGCCTCTTGTTGATGGCGCCTCTTGTTGATGGCGCCTCTTGTTGATGACGCCTCTTGTTGATGACGCCTCTTGTTGATGACGCCTCTGGTGATGGCGCCTCTTCGGGATGGCTCCTCTTGTTGATGGCGCTCTTGTTGATGACGCTCTTGTTGTTGGCGCCCTCGTTTACGCCTCTTGTTGATGGCCTCTTGTTGATGGCGCCTCTTGTTGATGGCGCCTCTTGTTGATGGCGCCTCTTGTTGATGGCGCCTCTTGTTGATGGCGCCTCTTGTTGATGGCGCCTCTTGTTGATGGCGCCTCTTGTTGATGGCGCCTCTTGTTGATGGCGCCTCTTGTTGATGGCGCCTCTTGTTGATGGCGCCTCTTGTTGATGGCGCCTCTTGTTGATGGCGCCTCTTGTTGATGGCTCCTCTTGTTGATGGCGCCTCTGGTTGATGGCGCTTCTGTTGATGGCGCTCTGGCTGATGGCGCTCTTATTGATGGGCTCCTCTGTTGATGGCCTTCTTGCTGATGGCGCCTCTTTGTTGATGGCTCCTCTGGTTGATGGCGCTTCTGCGATGACGCCTCTTGTTGATGGCTCCTCTTGTTGATGGCTCCTCTTGTTGATGGCTCTCTGGCTGATGGTTTCTTGTTGATGGCTCCTCTTGCTGATGGCTCCTCTTGTTGATGACGCTCTGTTGATGGCTCCTCTTGTTGATGGCGCTCTTCTTGTTGAGGCGCCTCTGGTTGATGGCGCCTCTGTTGATGGCGCTCTGTTGATGGCGCCTCTTGTTGATGGCGCCTCTTGTTGACACCACCTCGTTGGCACCACCCCTTTGTTGACACCACCATGTTGATGCCATCTGCTGACACCATTCCCTGCTGACACCACCCCTTGTTGACACCCCTCTTGTTGATGCCATTCTTGCTGACACACCACCTTGCTGACACCACCCCTCTTGTTGACACCACCTCTGTTGACACTCCACCCCTGCTGACACCTCTTGTTGACACCATCTGCTGTTGACACCACCTTGTTGACACCACCCCTTGCTGACAACACCCTTTGTTGACACCATCTATGTTGACACCATCCCTTGTTGACACCACCCCTTGTTGACACCACCCATTGTTGACACCACCCCTGCGACAACACTTTGTTGACACCACCCCATGTTGACGCCACCCTTGTTGATACCCAATTTGCTGACATCACCCCTGCTGACACCACCCTTGTTGACACACCCACCCTTTGCTGACACTCACCCCTGCTGACACCTCACCCCTGCTGACACCACCCCTTGTTGACACCACCCCTGTTGACGCCACCCTTGTTGACACCCCTGTTGGATACCTCACCCTTTGTTGACACCACCCCTTGTTGACACCACCCCTTGTTGACACCCACCCTTGTTGACACCCACCCTTGCTGAAATTACCCCTGTTGACACCACCCTTGTTGACACCAATTTTGTTGACACCACCCCATGCTGACGCCACCCCTTGTTGACACCACCCCTTGCTGACACCACCCCTTGTTGACACCACCCTTTGTTGACACCACCCCATGTTGACACCACCCCTTGTTGACACCACCCTTTGTTGACACCACCCCATGTTGACACCACCCCTTGTTGACACCACCCCTTGTTGACACCACCCCTTGCTGACACCACCCCTGACACCTCAATTCTGTTGACAATCTACACCCCTTGTTGACACCACCCTTTGTTGACACCACCCCATGTTGACACCACCCCTTGTTGACACCACCCTTTGTTGACACCACCCCATGTTGACACCACCCCTTGTTGACACCACCCCTTGTTGACACCACCCCTTGCTGACACCACCCTTTATTTATCAGCAGCTAACGTTTTTCTTCGTATTTTAATTCTTACTCTCAGTGGTGGACTCGATGAATCTAACTAGTAGTACTCGATGTCAAGCCAAAATCTGAAGGAAAAGTGATTATGCTTCACTTTTTCACTCCATATATTAAGTCTCTCATACGGCCATCAACCTCAGGATCAAGGGTCAATCACTGCCTTCGTCTGGGGTTAATTCTCTGGTAATACTCTACTTTTGAGGTCTTCTATTCTTAGTGTCAATTCTAGAAGCCTTTTTTGTTTATTAATTTCTAAACATTGACAAAATAATGACAAAAATACGTGTACTTAACTCAAATTGAAAGAGTGTTTAGCCAGTGAGAATAGAATGAATAATAACAATAATAATAACAGCAACAATAACAACAACAATAACAGCAGGAACAAAAGCATAACAACAACAACAACAATAATAATGAAAACAACACCACCACCACAACAACAACAACAACAACAATAATAATGAAAACAACACCACCACAACAACAACAACAACAACAACAATAATAATGAAAACACCACAACAACAACGACAACAACAACAATAATGACAACAACACCACAAAAACAACAACAATAATAATGAAAACAACACCACCACCACAACAACAACAACAACAATAATAATGAAAACAACACCACCACCACAACAACAACAACAACAACAATAATAATGAAAACAACACCACCACAACAACAACAACAACAACAACAATAATAATGAAAACACCACAACAACAACGACAACAACAACAATAATGACAACAACACCACAAAAACAACAGAATTATTGACATGACTAAAACCTATTGAGTGGTGCAGGTCTCTTGAAAGCACCTGATAAATACTCCACAATTATCTGAAGAAAATTATCAAATAACTTAGAGTATCAGCGAACAATGCTTATTAGTCGACCAGGCGAGGAACAAAATACCCAACAAATGCTAAAATTTCCCGCTAAAGCTTTTAATTACGATGAAATTTCAGAAGTTGATAAAAAAAACTCATCAACTAATTCGGTTAATTGGGATAATTAATGCAAAAAGATTACGGAAAATATGTTCTTTTGGCACATTGTTGACAACACGGTGAGGCAGAACGAGGCTTGGCTATTAGAGGTGGGATGTTGTTATTTTTAGGGGAAGGTGGACTTAATTGATGCTTTTGGTTAGATCTCACGTGATACTCTGACTGATGATGATGATGATGATGATAACGTTACTACCAATACGGATGATGATGATGATGATGGTGATGATGATGACGATAATTATAACGGTACTACCAATATTGATGATGATGATGATGATGATGATGACGATAATTATAACGGTACTACCAATATTGATGATGATGATGATGATGATGATGATGACGATAACGATAATTATAACGGTACTACCAATATTGATGATGATGATGATGATGATGGTGATGATGATGATGATGACGATAATGATAACGTTACTACCAGTATTGATGATGGTCTCTTTGCTGTTCTGGAGGCCATTATCATCGTATTCATGTTGTTTCTGAAGATGAACGGTATACCTGTTGTTGTTATTCTGCTAATTACATAGTGCCGTACACCTGGGGTCATGTGTCATAATACTGACCATACTTCTTAGTGTTGACATGGCGAGGTATGGTAAAAATAAAAATAGGAGGAG